GAAGATAAATGGATGGATGGCAGTAATTTTACCCCATTTCGTTTGAATAAATTGAATATGATCTAATAGAAAAGTTCAATACATTTGAAATGGCGTTTATTATTACTTTTTAATTGTAAAATTCAATAAATTTTGTTTCAGCTTTTAGAGTTCTCAAGGTCTTCTTCTTAAAATCTCACTTTTGTTATGATTGAGATATAAATCACAAAAAGATGATATTTTCTTTAACTAATATATCTATATATGAGACTCAATTGTTTATATGCTACTTCAATAGCTACGAACATGGGAGTGGCTACGGACATGGGAGTAGCAGCGAACATCTAGAGTGACATAACATTTTTAACACAGTGGATGTTTTCTCACAATTATATGTGGCCACATTGAATTACTGATAATATTACTCTTGAATTTTAATAAGTGGGTAATAAACAAAAACATTTTAAATTTTCAATCCTCTCATTGATACTATTAGAAGGTATAAAACTTTTTTATGGGTGACTGTAATCACAAGTATTTATTAAATTTTGTTTTGATTGATTGGTTAACATTTTTGTCCATAGTTGTTTTATTAGTTATTATTTTTAATTATATTTATGTATTAAAAATACTATTTGTATACAACTTTTGAGGCTAAAAATGATAATTTGCTTCTTCTTCTTCTTATTTTTTTTCTTTTTTTGTTTTTTTACTTGTAGGAGGCACCTATTAACTAACAGTTTAATGGTGCTTGTAAATGGGTCACCCACAGTAGAATTTTCTCCTCAAGAGGGGTTGAGGCAAGGTGATCCACTATCGCCTTTTCTCTTTAATATAGTGGTTGAAGGCTTGAATATCCTTTTGGAGAGAGCAAAACAAAAGGTGCTGATTAAAGGTGCTTTAGTGGGTCATCAAGGGTTAAAAATTTCTCATATACAATTCATAGATGACATCATTATCTTTTGTGAAGCCACATGGGATGAAATCATTATGATCAAAAGAATTCGGAGGTGTTTTGAAGTGGTGTCAGGTCTTAAGATTAATTTCCATAAGAGTATGGTTTGTGGCATTGGTGTGGAAGAGGGGTTAACTAAGGAGTTTGCTAAAAAAACTCAATTGCCTCAGTCATAAATTATCTCTTACATATCTTGGTTTACCTTTAGGGGCAAATCCAAGACGAAACAGTACTTGGAAATCAGTGGTGGAAAAGTTTAAGAAGAAATTAGCATCTTGGAAGAGGAGATACTTGTCCTTTGCAGGTTGATTGACCCTAATTAAGTCCGTATTGTCAAGTTTACCAATGTATTTTCTATCCATCTTTAAAATGCCTGTTGGTGTTGGTAAAACAATTGATAGGATTCAATCTAACTTTTTGTAGCGAGGTTCTGAAATTAAAAGGAAAATTCATTTAGTTAAGTGGTAGGAGCTGTGTCAAAGTGCAGCTCAAGGGGGGTTGGGTGTGAGAAGGCTGAGTGATGTTAATATGTGTTTAATGCTAAAATGGTGGTGGAGGTATGGTAGAGAGCATAAATCATTGTGGAAACAGGTGGTTTGTTGCAGATATGGTGGTTTTGGGGGTAGGTGGACTCCAAAACCAGTGCCTGATGGCATGGGTTCTAAGGTATGAAAGGATATTGTATCTTTAGGTTCATCACTTATTGTAGTGGATGAGTTTTTCGCACAAAATTTTAAGATTGTCATGGGAAATGGGGAAGGATTCATTTTTGGTCGGATAGGTGGTTTAACAACACAAGTCTTAGGAATGAATTTCCCAGGCGGTTTAGTTTATCAATTGAGAAGGAAGGTTCCTTGCAGTTTTTTTATTAACGAAAAAGACATGACAGTGACTAGAAGTTAGCATTTAGACGACCACTTTCAGCTTGGAAGGAGGAGGAAGTTCAAAGGCTTAATGTATTTTTGTTAGAGGTACCAAATCTAAATCAGTTGACTGAGGATACATGTTTGTGGATAGCTAATTCTTCAAGTGCTTTTTCTGTGGCTTCAGTTTGGAAGAAGTTGCAATCACTTGGTGAGCCCATGGTTAGCATTTCAAAGTTCCTGTGGAGAAATTCAGCACCTCCAAAGGCTCAGTTTTTTAGTTGGTTAGCTTGGAAGGAGAGATTGAAGACTAAAGATTTCATGCATAGGATTGGAGATCTGTCTGCCAATGACAGTTTTCAATGTGTGTTTTGCAAGGGAGAGGTGGAAATAATTAATCATGTGATGTTGTTATGTCCATTAGTGTGGAGAATATGTTCTGACTTGGTAAATTGGTGGGAGATAAAGTGGGCAACTCCAGGTTCTATGAATGTTTTGCTGCAATGGTGGTCTGGTATGAAATTTAGAAAAATGAGGAGTTAGAAATTTGGAAGGTTGTCCCTTTGGCCATGTTCTGGTCTTTGTGGAAATTAAGGAATGATTGTTTATTTAATAATGGCAAGGCTGATTTTGCAGAGATGGTGGAGCTTTTAAAAGTAAGAATTGCCTTATGGATGAAGTAAAATGTTAAGGGTTTCAATTACTCAGTGCATGATATTGTGGCACACTTGAAGCAGGTGAGAGGTTGTCTGGTATAAGAGGCATGCTGTTGTATGCTGTTGAATGCTGTTGAGTGGTGCAGGGGAAGGGGTGTAAGAAGATTTGTTGGTGGTGCAGCTTATATGATTGCAGGTCTGATGCTGTATGCTGCTAATGTATAATGCTATGTGGCCTTCTGTATGCTGCCTACTGATGTCGGCTGTTGGTTGACTTGCTGTTGGTCTGCTGGTTGACTAGCAGGGGAGCTGAAATGCTGATGTTGTTGGTTTGTTGCTCTGATGCTGCTGGTTGGGCTGTTCTATTTTTGTTTTTTTGTTTTTCACTATCTTTTAGTTTCTATTGATTAGTTTCTCGCCAATCTTGCGTTAAGTGCTAGCAATTGATAGTGCTTCCAATTGATAGTGCTTCCTTGGTGGTGCCAATCTAGTTGGGATTGTTAAGGTTAGCGTTGTTGCTTCTTGCACTTCCCTCTTTGTTGATGTAAGTTTTTTTTTAAAAAAAACTTAGTTTATTTATTTATTTATTTTTAAGTGGGATGAGAGAAAATTGACTAATTTTATTAGTTTTATAAAGTCAATAAATCATGTAGCATTAAATTTGTAATTTTTCATTACTTTACATACAACTAATAAATTTTAATTTAACTTTTTTTTTTAATAATGTTTATCGATTAAATCATGACATATATTTCTTTTTAAGAACTTAAAACACACATTCAATGACATAACAATAATAAAAATAATGCAAGCTTAGCTAAAATTTAATTCATTTAAAATATTTTTTCTATATATTTTAAACAAATTTTATGTTATTATTCAATTTTAAATTATTTTTGATTACTTCTTTATGACTATGCATAACACGGTATTATGTTAGTATACTATAAAAAGAATTGATAGATTGATTGACTCAATAAATTATATATTATCAACAATAATGAGAATTAATATTTCAAGTGTAAGAGCAATTCTAACCACACTTTTCATTTTTCATTAGTTAAAATATGAAAAAAAAGGCATGTTCTTTATTTTGTTTAATTCCCTTTTTATCTATGTACTCCAATGCTACTCTTTATTTTACCTATATCTATATACACAAACTGTTTAAGGAGCCTTATAAGACTTTTCAAATGTAGTCAACACCGAGACTCTTTAAATGAGGCATGTTGGCTATTATAACTAGTATTACCATATTTTAACTTTTGTCAATGGGTTAGCTATTACAATTGCTATTTTAATAAATTTTCCAATGATGCTTGTTAGCTATTATAACTAGTATTATCATATTTTAATTTTTCCAATTGATTAGCTATTACAATAGCTATTTTAATAAAAACAATTTAAGGGTAGCTACATTTGCAGAGCCTTGTGAGGCTCATTTGTATGTATAACTAGGTAAAATAAAGAGTAGCATTGAAGTATATAGGTTAAAAAAATACTTTTTTTATTTTTTATTTATATTTTAGCTAGTAAAAAATGAAAGGTATGGCTGGAGATCCCATTGGAGTGACTAAAATATATGAAACTAGCTAAAATAATTAACATGCCTTGTTTAAAGAGTCCTTAGAGATACTCTAACTTAATAGTAAAAGAATTTTTTTAAAAAACAATTAAATAAAGAAAGAAAAGCAATTCAGTTACGGAAAACTTCATAAATAAAAGAAAATAAAGAGGAAAGAAAGAAAAGGTAAAAACTAAAATATTTTAGATTTTTTCATCAAAATCAGAATAATTTAAGAAGTTCCCATTTTTTAAAATTTTTATTTGAAAACTTAAAAATGATCATGTATAAAATTGCCTAACGTGAATTAATTTTATAATCCATCACCTTGAGTTATTTTTATATTTAATATAAATAGTTATTGATGTAACATTTTAACATCTACTAATCATCAAATGAAGATTTTATTTTTTTTATAAAACAAAAAATAAAAATAAATATTCGATTTTGGCTCTAAATGGAAATATTTATGTTAAATACATAAACTAGTCATATTCAGAGGAAAGTGGAATGTCTTTTCAGTTTAATTGCAAGAAAATAAAGAGAAATTTACCCAAATCCAATTACTCCCTCCGTCTCAAATATTGGTCCCTTTTGGGGAATCCAACTTTTTTTTATGGTACAATTATTACATTTCAGAATTTTTAAATTTCCAAAAATACCCTTTGTTTTAAAATTAAAGTAAAAAAAAGTACTCCTACTAATAGTTGTAAGAAAATCTGTCCAAAAATCTTGGCGGGAATTTATTGTGAATCAAACCAAATTTAAGCGGGTAGGTATCTAAATAAAATTTGAACGTTTCCTTTTCAATTTAAAATTACATGTTACTACTCCAGAAACTACTCCATTCTTTCTCACAAAGGCAAACTCTTCTATTTTGCTCCATTACCAAATTTGCTCATTTTCTTTCTTATATCTCATCAACTATTCCAGCTTATTGTCTCATGTTTTCATCTTTAAATATTGATCCATTTTAATCCATCATGGATTCTATAATTGAGGCTTCCTCTGCTGCTAGTTCCCCTGTTTTTCTTTCTTCTGTTCATCATAGAACAAAGAAAAATCTAACAAATCATCTACGCCAATCAATTTTTGAAACTCTGCTAATACGAAGTAAGGATGGAAAATTGAAAAGGGGTTGTCAAACTGAGGTTGCTGTGAAGTTCTCTGTCCATATAAAAACTGTTCGTCGTATTTGGCAGAGAGGAATAGCTTGTATGGAAAATGGGTTAATGGTCAATGTATCTAGCAAATTAACAAATTCTGGCCGCAAGCAAGTTCAACTCAACTTTGGGAAAGTCACTGAAATTCCTCTTCGTCGTCGAACCAATATCCGCTCATTGTCAAAGGCATTGAATCTTCCAAAATCAACAGTTCATAGGAGAATTAAAGAAGGCAAAATTAGGCCGCACTCAAATGCGTTGAAACCGTATCTATCTAAAGAAAATAAGAGAGCGAGACTCCGATTTTGTCTTTCAATGCTTAAGCCTAATAGTCTTCAAGGCCAGCCAATGTTCGAATCCATGTATGACTATGTGCACATTGATGAGAAGTGGTTTTACATCTCCAAAGAAGCAGAGAGGTATTACCTTCTTCCTGAAGAAGAAGAACCACATCGTTGTTGTAAAAGTAAACGTTTCATTACAAAGGTAATGTTCCTTGTAGCAGTTGCTCGGCCACGGTTTGATGAAAATAAAAATGAAGAATTTTTAGGTAAAATTGAAATTTGGCCATTCACATACAAGGAACCAGCTAAAAAGAATAGTAAGAATCGTGCAGCTGGTACACTTGAAACAAAGGCAATTGTATCGGTAACAAAAGATGTTATTCGTGCATGTTTGATTGAGAAGGTTCTATCTGCAATTCAATCTAAATGGCCATGTTCCAGTGCAATGAACACTATATTCATTCAACAAGATAATGCAAGACCACAAGTTGATCCATTTGATGTTGAATTTCTTGAAGCTGCAAGTAGAGAAGGTTTTGATATTCGTTTATCGTATCAACCCCCAAACAGCCCGGATATGAATGTTTTGGACCTCGAATATTTAGAGCGATTCAATCTTTGCAATATCAAGAAGCACCCACAAATATAGATGAATTGGTTTATGCCGTAGAAACATCGTTCGAAGAATTATCACGGGAAACTCTTGATCATGTATTTGTAACCTTGCAAGCATGTATGCTAGAGGTGATGAAAATCAATGGTGGGAACAATTACAAATTGCCACATATGGCAAAGAGAAAACTGATGAGAGATGGTACTTTGCCTTGCCAAATTCAATGTGAACCTCATGTTGTTGAAAATGCTTTGGCCCATCTCCATTCAAGTCCAGGTAAGTTTTTGGGTCTCTCTTTCTGTTTTTTGTTTGTCTATATGTAGCATGAAAGATTAAGTTTTCCTTCACTATCTTTTTTATTTTATTTTATTTAATTTTTTTTTTCAGGGGTCTAACTCTACAAGGCTTCAGAATTTTTTGGGTGAATTCCTTGGTTAAGAACTCTGTTGATAGAGAACAATTTTTGTTGGTGAATTTTGTCACTTAACTAAATGCTTCTTTGATGGTGTTGCTGTTGAAGAAATCATTTGTGAGTTTCCAAAGCTAAATGTAAATGGCAGTGGTGGTGAGAATTGAAACTCCATGTATCAGCACTTTTTTTTGGTTGTTTTTGCTCCCTTTTGATGTATGTATTCCTTTTGAAATGTAATGAAATACATTAGTACAGTAAATTCATTTTTTTTTTTAAATATCAATTGTCATAATTATGTATTTTTTGTGTATATTAGTAGTAATGAATTTAAAAGAAGGGCAAAACGGGAAATTCATGTCACTTTTGTACTTGATTTTTAAAAAGGGACTAATATTTTAGGACAATGAAAAATGAAATAAGAGACTAATATTTTGGGACGGAGGGAGTACATAAACTTGCATACCCAAAAGCCCTGTATATTTTCTTATGAGATTATAAACGTCTGTCTCGTGAATGTTGAATTTACAAACAACCAATGATTGTGTGTCACAACAGCAAAGTTGTGAGCCTTAAAGGTGACGTTTAGAAATAAATTATTTTAGTAATTTTTTAATTTTTTAAAAAAATATTGCAAAAAATTAGAAAGAATAATTTAATAATTTATAGTAATTTTTTGACTAAAATTGAAGGTTGCTAAACAAGGCAATCTCTCTCAACATATTATTCCCACACTGCAACTCTTACACAATTTCCTTCTCACTCTGGAAACTCTCCTCCTCTAGCGAAGAAAATGGTGACTCTATCCCTTACCTACTGTAGACACCCCATTTTTGACGGCCCTTAAGAGTTGGGCACCACTGATGGTTTACTTGGTGGAGAAAGGTATGCAGGGGAAAGGTTCAGTTTCTTCGACAAGGAGAGAGACAAATCTCAACTTCACACCCCATTTTGGACCAAAGCTATTTTGAATGGTTTTTAGACCTTAAAACCCCCTCTTTCAAAATATTTATGAAATAAAGTTTCTACAACGTTCCGAGGCTCACATTTTGTCAAATGATGCGCTTTTCAATAAACCGAGTAAGGACAAAGTGGAAATGAATGAAAGAGAGATGAAATCTTTGAAAAATATTTCAAAACACCTTGTTCGGGGGTTTGGAGTTGAAGAAAAGAGGAGAAGAGCGAAGAAACCTAGCTGAGGAAGAAGTTGGGTATGAACCGCTAAGAGAGTGTCGAGCGGTCCTCGCTAAATCAGACTTATCTGTCTATCCACTTGAAGTTAAGCTATGAGGCTACCACTGTTGGAAAGAAGACTTATGGGGCTTCATTTTCCATTCAAGAATCTCTTAAAGTCGAGTCCGGATGGGGGAGATATGATTGGTTGAAGTTGGGCATCATCCCGGTTGGACCGAAACTGAGCAACCTTCACCAAAACAAGAAAAACTTTTTTCATAGTTGGAATTTTTATGCAAGGCTGGTTCCATTGGAAAGCTTACTTCCGGGGCTTCAATTTGGATACAAGAATGACCTGAAAAGGAGTTCATATGAAGGAGTTATGCCCATTTGAAGTTGGACCTGCAGACTAGATTTTTCCTGCCGGCCGACCAAACAATGTGCCGATCGACCAGAACAAATAGTCGACCGACCAAATAAGTAGCAGGCCAACCATTTATAGTAGTCAACCGACCATTTTTGCTGGTCGAAGACCTTCTGGTGTATTCTACAGATTGAATGGATGCCAGCTGTGCCAGCTGGAGGGCACAGACTGGATCCTCCATACACGTGTATGGAGGATCTTTGCTCTTGGTTTGAAGCTTTTAAGAGAAGCTTTAGTCCCTTGACTCTATAAAGGAAGGCTCCCCTCTCCTTATACCAGGTTCAGAACTTGGTTAGGGCATATACACATATATCCCTCTTTGTCTCTCTATATCTCCTCCATTTTAGCTTCAAAGTGTAAGGTTCTTGGCTCCATTACCCTACACCTCATAACCTAACCTCTCCATCATACATCCAAGCATTTTGTAGCTTGTTTTCAAAGGCTAAGGGACTGGTTTTGGGGACCAAAGGCTGCTGGAGTTCTTGGCTACAAGGGTAACACACTTATCTCCCTTTTTAAGGCTTATCTTGCTTCATAGCTTAGCCATACTTGAATGCATTTTCGAGCTTTGTCATAAATTGTAAAAGGTCTTATTTTGAGCTCCTCTTGAAGTTTTTTGAAGGACATTTTTCTGTTAGTGGTCATCTACCCCCTTGTATGTTTCATCTCCCTTTTAAGGCTTTATTTTGATCCATATCTTAGCCATACTTGCAAGCATATTTGAGCTTTGTCATAAACTGAAAAAGTCTTGTTTTGAGGCCCTTTTGGTGTTTGTTTAAGATCATTTGACTGTTGGGGATCGTCTATCCTCTTGCATGCTTGTTTCAGCCTTGTTTTGTGCCACACCTTGAAGCCTTTGTATTAGTCTTTGCTTGGCCTCCTAGCCACTAAAATCCAGTGGATTTTCAGTGATAGGCTTGCTGTTTTGAGGGCCTAAATCAGAGAGGGGTGACCCTCTCCCTTGTTGTCTTGTTTGTTGCCATTTTTGGCCTTACAAAGGGGCTTATGTTTAGATCATTTGGAGGCTTGGTTCAAGCCCTTTTTGGTGACTTTTTGGACTTGCATAGACTCTTTTCATAGTTGGCTTGGTCCGTTTTTGTTTTCCTCTTGCATGTGTAAAGTAACTCCCTTTTTGGCTTATCAAAGGAGCACCCCATTCTAGCATGTGTTGACTATGTTTCAGTGGCTTTTTGGGCTTATTTTGGCATGCCTTGAAACTGTTTTTGGCTGGTTTGGTGGTCCCTCATTTGCTTCACATGCTTGTAGTGTAAACCATGCTTACTAGCTCACATTGCAAGTTGTTTTGACCTTTGATGCTAGCATATTTTGGCCATGTTTTAAACTGATTTTGTTAATGATTTGGGCTGCCTTTGCTCTTGTTTTGAGGCCAATGGTCGAATGATGCTTGCTTTGCATACCTATAGTGTAACACACTTCACTAGTTTCAATGCTTAAGCCATCCAACATGCTTCGTGTGAGTTGTTGCATCATTTCGGAGTCATTTTGTATGCTATTTTAGAGCTGGAATATATTCCATTGTGTTCATTGTTTCATCTTTGCCATGCTCTTGGAGAGTTGAGTTTTGTGCCTTATGCTTGAGCCCTTGCATTGTGCATGCTTGTGTGCATTTTGGTGCCTGGTTTTCATCATGGTTGGCCACTAATTTTGGCATGCTTGAGAGCTACCCATGTATAGTGTAAGTCCATTTTACCATGTTGTTGCATGCTTGTTTCATGTTGCATGTTGTTGCATGCTATACACGTCCACATGTTTAGGTTGTATGCCTATTGCATATTGCATGTTCACATGCTCATGTTGCATGCTTAGCTTGCATGTTTAGGTTGCATATCATAGCATGCATCTCTTGCCTCTTGAATTGATTATGATAGAGGTTTGGGGCCCATTATTTGTTTTGTGCATTTCATTACATATTGAAATTGCACACTTTGGCTTCTTGGGCCATCATGCATTTGAAATGCGTGATTGGTGGTCCGAGGGTCGAGAACCATACTCCCTTGAGTTCATAACATGATAGGGAGGTTGGTTGTGCAAACATTTACCTTGAAATGCATTGCCATGCCTTGTCTGTCGTCTGCTGTGATCAAAATAGGTTTCTGCAGGAAGTTATGGCCGGTCGGCCATCTATATTTTCGATCGACCAATCATCCGTAGCCGATGGCACAATTTTCAGTCGATGGATGGCCGGTGGTGTTTCCTCTTGGCCGGTGGTCTCCCACAACCCCTCAGGGAGTATTTCAGAAGTAACCTTGAGACTTGTGCAGTCCTCAGAGGCGCAGAGCAGTGTAAACAGAGGCAACATGTGTCATAGCAATGGATTTCCGAGCGAAGCCCATCCAAGCATGCGTGCATCCCTCTTCCCGAGGCCTTTTACTGCTTTCCATAGCTTTGTTAATTTATTAATTAATTAAGGGTTTGTAATATTTAATTAGCTTGATAATTAGTTAATTTGTACTATTCTTTCGGACCCTCCGAGCGAGGGCAATTTTGTAATAACTGTGCGTGAGTCTGTGTATGTCTTCCAACCCCACGTCTTTCTCCCTTTATTTACCAGCTTATGATGGTTAGTTTAGGGCACGTTTCAACTAGCATACTTATGATAGCATGTTTGCACACACTCATTCGTATTGCATGCACTAGGCTCGGCGCATCATGCTAACTGCATTGTATTTCAATTCCAATTTGAATACATGTATCAAGTTGCATTTCACATGACATCTTAGAATAACCGAGCCTATTTCTAGTTGCATTTTGCATGTGTTGCATTAGCCATCTTAACATGAACTAGGATCATGTATTTGATTACTTACTAGTTTCTGTTTTGGCTCGGAGTACTCAGTAAGTATTTATGCTTTAGCATCTTGCATGCGTGTGAATGTTGCCATGATAGCATGCTTGCCATGATAGCATGCTTACCATGAGGCTAATTTCTTATGTGATATAACTGCCTGAATGCCTGTGGGTGAAGGTTAGATTGCTTGAATTGGAACAATTCAAAAATTTGTGTTTTAG